CGGCGTCCACGATGACCCACTCGCCGCTCTCCCAGAAGTCCAACTGGTCCACGCGGCGGTGCATGCTCACCAGGTCGATCTTGGCCTTGTCGTAGGTCCAGGAGCCGAACTTCATGGTGCAGTTCTGCTGGTCGAAGGGGAAGAAGGTGACATCGATGCTGCAGGAGCTCTTGTAGATGGCCGGGGGTGTCCACTGCACTCGCCCGTCGTAGAACAGGTGGGCCTTGGTCAGGTGCGTGACCGCGAAGTCCCCGTCCGCGCTGGGCAAGAAGAGGGAGACGCAGCTAAGAGCCCGGACAGCACACCGACTCCGCACGCCCCATGTGTGAGCAGTGCCACCTCGCGGGTCGGCGCAGCCTTGGGCAGAGCAAGGACCTACACCGCCACTTACCCACGTGCCTGGCTGCCCACTCCTGAGCCGGGGACAGAGACACCCGGCCCACGTCAGGTAGGCCATCGCCACTCCACTCTCTGGGGCTGCAGGGACCGGAGCCTCTCCCAGCTCCCCCCAGGGCGTTTCATGCCCCCACACACCTGCACTTCCAGGAAGGTGCTGGGATGCCCCGAGGCCTTGGCCTGCCCCGAGGCCTTGGCCTGCCCTGGCTCCTGCCAGCCCCACCTGAGCACTGGAGCTGGTCCTTAGTCTGACCTGGCACCAGCCGGCAGCCTGAAGGCCAGGTCCCTGTGGAAACTCGAGGGCCCCGACCACTGGGGAAGGGAAGGTGGGGTTCTCGGCCCCCGGCCCCAGTGAGACCTGACCTTGGGCAGAGCTGGGCCAGGAGGCCTGTGCTGAGCAGCTGCTCACAAGGCGCCGGGGAAGACAGTTCAGCCGGAGGCCAGGAGGCCACTCTGTCTGCCTGGCCTACACCACGGGCCGTGGATGTGAGACTGGCCCCTGGGCTGCAGAGCACCGGTACACAGCAGTGCTTCAGAGAGTACCTCTCAGGGCCAGCATGGCTGGGCACCCTCGGGGCCTGGACCCCTTGACAGGGAGTGGAAGCCAAGGCTGCTGTCGGTGGCCAAGCGCTGAGCACCCCACCTGCTCTTCGCTGCCCCAGGGACTCAGGGTTCCCCTGTGCACAGCTGGCGACCATGCCGGAGCGCAGGGACACGGACAGGCCCACGTCACCGGGGGCTGGTGCAGCAGGCCTAAGCATGACCGTGGTCAGCTTCAGAGCCCAGGACTGTCAGCCTCTGCTTACCTTGGATGTCTACATCCTGCAGCAGTGAGGCCCTGGGGCTGAGCGAGCGGCTCGCACTGCCCCTGTCCTGCAGCTGGACACCCTGGCTCTGGCCGCCACCCGAAACGCCCGATCCAGCCCCTCATGCTGCAACCTGGGCTGTCAGAGTCGCTTGAGACCCGCCCCGCCACTCTAGGCAGCCCAGCCCCCCCAGCCCCAGCGCAGAAGCTGCATCCTGGTAGGCGAGTCCCCAGGCCCCACCGGAGCCCCCTAACCCCACAGCGTGCCGCGGGGTGTTCCTGGGAGAGCTGAGTGTGAACACCAAAAAGACCAAGTGGCTGGGACGGCCTCGGGGCGGGAGGCCGACCCTGCTCCCTTCCTGCAGGCACTGCGAGGCCACGGCCAGCTGGAGGCGGGGCCCGGGCGCTGGAGCCAGACAGGAGCGTTTGTAGGTCAGGATGCTGCCCGGGGCTCAGGGGCTGTGGGCAGATGGCAGGGAGCGCCTGTCAGCTCCGGGAACCGCCCTACCCGGGCAGGGGCGGGGCACCAGCCAGCTCCAGGGAGGGGGAACTGGGAGGGCACCAGGCCCC